ACTATTCTATGGCCCCAGTACTACTATGAGCTTGAGAACATTATCTATTCTAGAGGGAACCTTATCTAGAGAGAACTGTGCTTTTTAGATTCTCCGAAGACATGAAACATAAACAAAAATTATAAAGTCAAAACAAACCAATGAAAGATAGTTTAGAATGTGATTTGTAATTGGAAGGAAGAGACAACGATTCCAGTGTGGGGATTTTCGATGAGCCAGACCAACATGGAACGACTCAATGGAGAAGTTTGACAATAGAGCTAATGTATGATAAGAACTCAGAGAAATAACTGGGTAAGAGAAAGGGAGGTACTGGAGAGGTGTGTGCCTCCTAGTTGGCCATAGATTCTGAAATCTGAACTTGACTATATTATTGTCCAGGTTTCTTAGAGGGTCCCCCTCACCTTGGATTATTCAAATACAAATAGAGATGAATTCAATCCTTTGGAGCATAGAAGGAAGTTGGAATAAATAATGAAAAGACAAACTTTTTTTTTTCTTTTTGGATGACACCCAGTGATGCTCAGGGGTTATTCCTGGCTCTGCACTCAGGAATCACTCTTGATGGTGCTTGGGGGACCATATGTGATGCCAGGGATTGAACCCAGGTCGGTTGTATGCAAGGCAAATATCCTACTCGCTCTACTATAGCTTTGGTCTCAAGAAAAACATTTTGTGAAATAATGTGTGTCAGGTATTATCTTAAGTCTTTTGTGAATTGCTCATTAAATGTTCAACCAGAATTCATGGTGTAATATTTCTGATTTTTGCATATAAAATATATATGCATATATATTATAAATGATTGTCTTTGATTATATTTGATTTTTCACTTTTACATATATCAAAATCCATTTATAAATAGAATTTCAAATGAACTCTTTACAGTTTTAATTTAAAAATAAATGACAGCATTGTAATTGTAATAGTCATTTTTTCTACATAAATGTGGAGGCAAAAATAGATTAAAGAGAAAACACATCTGCAAAATGTCTTGGAGAAACTGATAACTAGAGAAAAAAGAATTGGGTTTCTACTTCACACAATAAAAAATTGCTCAAATGAATCAAGATTAAATATAATAAAAATAGACTTCTTAGGAGAAACCATGGACATGCATTTAAGTGAAAATAGGGATTTATTTTTTTCAGATATAATACCAAAATCCTAGGAACAAGGGGGAAATGGATACATTTTGCTTAATAAAAATGATCTGTGTGTGTGTGTATGTGTTTTAAAGATACTATCAAAGAACTGAAGTGTGGAGACAATATTTTGAAACCATGAATCTTATGTAGATATTATATTCAGTGTATACAGAGAATTTCTACAATTGATTGATAGAAAAGTAACCTAAATAAAAATGGGCAAAATATTTAGATAGATGTTTTAACCAGAATTTATATAAATGGCCAATAATCACATAAAAAGACATTAAATATTTTTTGTCATTAGGGAATTGCAAATCTAAACTGCAATGAAGTATTATAATACATTCGCTACTGGATGTCTAAAATGTAAAAGCAACTTATAAGTTTTTATGTAGATATGGAAAAACTAAAATAGTCATGCATTGCTTGCCAGAAGATAAGATGAACAACTATTTTGAAAAGCAGTTTAATAAGTCATTATTACATGACCCATTGATCCCAGTTTAGAAAGTATACCAAAGGCAAAATAAATGTATTGTAAATTCAAATCCATATCTATACAAAGATGCATACATGCATATCAATGGAATCTTTAATCATAAAAGTTAAAAAAATAGGGACTGAAGTAATGATACCAAGGGTAGGACAACTCTATTGCATGTGGTCAACCCAGATTTGATCCTTGACACTCCATAATGTTCCTTGAGCACTGCCAGGAGTGCAAAGCCAAGAATGAACACCATTTGGTGTCCTTCACACCTTCCCAAAAGTAATTCTAAAGAAATAGAAAAATACCAAGATCATGGACTGGTAAATGGATAAATAAAATTTAGTGGTAAAATTATAAAATGGAGAAATTTTTTAGAGTTAAACAGAATAAACTTTTATTCCTGACATGGGTAAGAAAGCATGAGCTTTAGGGTACTTGCCTTGTACCTCAGCTATGCTTTAGAATCCCTGGCACTGTCTTGTTCCCTAGCTATTCATTAGAATCTCTGGCACTGCATATGGTCTCCCAAGAACCACCAGGTGTCACTCCTAAGCACGGAGCCAGGAAGAGACCCTGAGGACCACTGGTGGTTGTCCAAACGTAACCCTAGTTCCCCAAGGAGAGGGGCAGAGGGATGATTAAAATAAAACACTAATAAATGCTTTAATCTGAGTGGGCTTTGAAAAGATTATATTAATTCTAAGAACCAAATAAATACAATTCTGCATATGCCTCCTTTCTAGACTGGGGATAAAAGATATAAGTTGACGTTAGAGGTTAATTGTTATTTTTGCTATTATTTGCTTGTGTACCATAACCAGAAAAAGAGCATATGTTAATAGAAAATGGTCTGATTCAGAGAATGGAAAATGGACACATGTTCATTATTCTGTACCAGACATTTTTAACATTTTTATACCCTAAAATTCACATGCTCAAGCAAGTAGCACAGAAAACATCTCAGTAGGGAATACCCTTAGTCAAGACTATACTGTAACTAATGGCTCCTGTTTTATTTCCAAGTCACATTCCCTAGAGGCATTAACACAGCTAAAAGATTTTGTTGAAAAGTTCATCCTTTATAATTTAAAATTGCTGAATAGCATAAAGGGGACATTTTCTTCAGAACTATGAAAAAAAGGGCGGGGGAAGTTTGGAAACAAATGTGAAGCAAGATGAAAAGGCTAAGAATACATTTGTGTTTTTCACTTTTATAACAAAAGTAAAAGCAGGTAGGAAGAATGAAATCTTCCAATGTATGTAGCTGAAAGATACTGTTGCATGAAGAATGTATAATTGATGTGTTTTTTTAAAGAAATTTTTAAAAATTAGACTAAATTTGGAGCAATATGTCTGTAATATGTTTGAACAATGTCCTGGGGAAAATTCAGATACTTCTACCAATCTGTTTATCCAAATGAAAACCTGACTATAGATACTACAAAATAGTAATAATATATTTCAGCGACTGTGCCTGGTTGTGGACTGGAGCTATAGCACAGTGGGTGGGGCGTTTGCCTTGAACGTGGCCAACCCGGGTTTGATTCCTCTGTCCCTCTCGGAAAGCCCGACAAGCTATCAAGAGTATCCCACCCTCACAGCAGAGCCTGGCAAGCTCCCCGTGATGTATTTGCTATGACAAAAACAGTAACAAGAAGTCTCACAATGGAGATGTTACTGGTGCCCCGCTCAAGCAAATCAATGAACAATGGTATACCAGTGACAGTGACAGGTAATACACACACAGACACACACACACACACACATATGTATGTATATATATATATATATATAGAGAGAGAGAGTTTTTACCATTTAAAGGTGACATTTATATGTTTTTAGGGAAGTCATATAGAGTATTCACCAAGTGTGAATACCCAGTAACACTGCTTGTTTTTGTTCACATTATGTGCTTACTGAGTCGGAATTCATTCACTTCAAGCTCCTCTGCAGGGCCCAATACACCTTTGGCTCTGAAACGTGCACATTGTTTGTTTCCCAGGAAGTGCAATGCTTCTCAGAATGACTAATTCAATCTAATTGGGGATAAAACTGATATAAATGAATAAAGAGTTTAAATTATACAGTTGCTTCAAGAGAACATTGGATGCTTCTATTCCCCTATTGTTTGTAAGTTTCAACAGTAAGTTGGACTAAATAGAGAATTGTTTGGTAATGGTGCTTTGGGAATGTATTTCAATGAGTTGACAAGAATTATTTATAATTGCCTTCATTGTGTGTATGTAAATGGTATCCCAATGTAATTAAAACATTTCTTTTTAATAGCTTAAATGTTGCTCTTGAAATACTGTTATTTTATTTGTTCAACAAACAATTTTTCTATCAATAAAATGTTAAAATTCTGCAAATTCATAGTATGTAAGTCTTATATGAAAATAATATATATATACATATATATTTCTGGTAACACTGTAGCTCTGTCCTCACGTTCATCTATTTGCTTGAGTGGGTACCAGTAACATCTCAATTGTGAGACTTGTTGTTACTGTTTTGGGCCTATAGAATACTCCACGAGGAGCTTTCTAGGCTCTGCTGTGCTGGTGGGATATTCTTGGTAGTTGCTGGGCTCTCCAAGAGGGATGGAGGAATCGAACCCAGGTTGGCCATGTGCAAGGCAAACACCCTACCCTCTGTGTTATCACTCCATCCCTGTATTTCTGGTAAGTTGCAGAACTGTCTTAAATTTGTCTAGATAATTTATACTCTGATAGTAATTTCTTGTCCTGTAATGTTTTTCCATGAAGGTTAGCTATTTTTAGTTTAAAGAATTGATGAGATGAGTAGAACAAGAAAGAAAAACGCAGGAAAGGAATTTTGTTCTGTGCTTATTTCCAACACCTTGATGAAATAAATATTGATTGTAAGCTTCAAACTCTGCTAATTTCTCTATATAACAAGGTTATTTTAATATGTAACAAAATGTAATTTATAATAATTTACCAAGGATGGCTTATGGACACTCCATAGCTAGACTACATGATACTTTTATCAAAAATTTTTGAATAAAGTACTGGAATTAAAAGCATTTGTGTTACCATTCATGAATTGTCTGATCTAACAAGCATGAGAGTCCACTTCTCCTAGAGCTCAGATGATTACTTAGCAATAGACAGTGAATTAACTTGATCTAATTTAATTGTATGGCCAATGTCCAGATGTGTTGGTAATAAAAGTATGAAATAAAACGAGGGTCTCGTCAGAGTATCTAAGTAGAGGGAAATTGAGGAAAGGGACTTAAACTTTTGAGGACTATGTAAGGGACTGTGTGTTCATATCTTGATCATAGACTGTAGGCTCTATGTCATAACTTAAAAGAAAAATGTAAGTGCCAACTGTACCTTTTCTGCAAAAGGGACCTTCATATGGTGAATTAGTGCAATCACAGAAGTATCCACTGTGCTTTTCCACACACTTGCCCCCATTATGACAGGTGCTTCCATAACTGCTGCAATGACCAGGACACCCTGGCCGGACTCCACTTGTGACCTTGGCCTTCTCCTCCAGGTCCAGTTTCTGCCCATTCAAGTGTAAGGAGCGTAAGCATCCCAAGAAGCCTTTCTGTCTTGATGATGTTCCCCCTAAAGGGTAAAAATCAAAGAAAAAATTGTAGGTATTATAAGATTTCATTGGTTTACATTTAAATTTGGGGTTGGTAGTGGTTCATTATTGGTTAGTTGGCATATTGTTTAACTTTTCTGTTGAAGTAATCATAATTAGACATTCTGAAAGTTCTGGGGAACCTCTCACTCAGCGCCATATCTGTAGCTTCATCCATCGTTTCAAGCAAAAAATATTTACTATGCAGTTCTCACAGACATTAACAAATTTCCATTTAAGAAGAAATCTTTGACCTTTGTTTTCCCAAAGACATGAAAAATAAAGTTTTTAAGATATAAAAATAATATATACACTGAGTTTAAAAACTGCCTAGAGAAAACCTATGTTTATTCATATTGTAAACTCACTCCCATTACTAAAAAAGTTTATAGTCTATGAGAACTTCTGTATAATAAATGTTTAATATAGAAATAAACATGATAGCATTTCTTGAAAGTTTTTTTTTAAACTTTCTTTTCAGGATCCACCTTAAGTTTTCAGTGGGATTTGCAATGTTTCTTACAAATTATTTAAGACCAGTGCAGATGTGAAGTGGCAGTGTGGAAATTGAAGATTTGATCAACCCAGGCTTCTCATAGGATAAAAATGTGCACCGAGAAACAACAAGCCAAGACACTGAGTGAAATCCTATGAACAGATATTTGCTCATACTGAGAGTCTGAGAAAAATCAGAGAAGACATATTTGCAAACTGCCTTTAAAGAACACAAATTCAATTTTAAATCAAATACTTTGGCTCCAAGTCACACAAAAATATAAATGAGAGTCATAGTAAGCTATTCAGAGTCGCTGAAGTATACCAATATAGAGAAGGGACCCTTGCATTCAAAACAACCAAGGGCAAGATCAGCACCATTTATTTACTGTGTATTTCAAAAACTCATTCATGTATAGCAACCATCTTATAATTTTATTAAACCTTATCTAGCAAATTATATTGTTATCAAAAAGGATATATTTTATGCAAATTATATTGTAATCAAAAAGGATATATTTTATGCAAATTATATTGTTATCAAAAAGGATATATTTTATACATATTTTTTTTCTTTTTCTCTCTTTTTTTCCCATTGGTTTGGAGCCAGACATATCAATACCAGATCCAGGTTTACTCCTGGTTCTGTGCTTATGGGTGGCTTCTAGCAGTGTTCGGAGAAACATGCTGGGGATTGAATTTGACACATTTAAGGCAAGTGCCTTACTTCTTGTACTATCCTCTCCAGCCCCAGATAAAATCTTCACTATGTTATCACAGGTTAGAAACATCAATGTGAAAACAAAAATTTGTTTGATTATCATTTGGAAGTTTTTCATTCCATTTTTTTTTTGTGGAAGTGATGGCATCACTGTTATTTGGGACACATAATCAAGCATAAGAAACAGCTTTCTTTTGTAAAGAATAAGTAACTGAAAGAAAAAATCAAAATGTGGGAACTATTTATATAATAGAAAAACAAATAATTTCCCTCCAATATATTTTTCACTCAAATATGACCTGTTTAAGAACTTTAATATCTACCCTAATAGCTTTGTCTTTCCTTAGTTATTTTTTATTAAATTGTATATGTTTGTATGTATGTATGCATGTATATGTGCATGCTACTATAAATATCAGAAGGAAACTCATCTGGTTGTATTATCTTACTGTCTTATTCATTAGTAAATAGCATGCACTCACTGTCCTCCTGTTGCTCATCGATTTTCTTGAGTGGGCACCAGTAATGTCTCCATTGTGAGACTTGTTGTTACTGTTCTTGGCATATCGAATACATCACGGGTAACTTGCCATGCTTTGCAGTGTGGGTCGAATACTCTCGGTAGCTTGCTGGACTCTCCCGAGAGGGGCAGAGGAATTGAACCCAGGTCGGCCACATGTAAGGCAAATGCCCTACCCACTATGCTATTGCTCCAGCCCCATTAGTAAATTATTACAATAAAAATATAGATGTATATTCATTTCCTATTTGCCAGAGACTCATGATTTTACCTTTCAGAAGATTATATTTTAGCACTAATATCAGTTTAAATGGTACTACTTATCATTAGACATTATAAAACTGTGATGGAATAGTTTTAATTCCATAGACAGCATTAATTTCAAGAGCAGAAAATTTTGCAGCAGCAACAATAGCAGCAATAGCAATAATAAAATATTTAAATGGCTCTTAGTCAATCATTTATGTTTTTCTGCAGAGATTGCAGGCATTCAGAGAAGTTAATACCTTTCAAAAATAAGGGGAATGAAGAAATATAGCTTTATTAAAGAAAAATGAGGAGGAAAAAAATAAAAATAAGTAGGCAAAAGTTCCTTGGAGGCATTGTAAATAGATATGGAAACACACACATATGCACATGTATTTAATCAATCATCTGTTTTTCATGTAATTTTAAAGAGGGATTCTTTTAAGGCAATGTCTCTCATCGATGGTTGCAATAGTAAACAGTAAGCTTACATGTAAATATATTCTTATTATTACAGCAGTGCCAGCTCCCACTTATCTGCTGAATACATTTCAGAGAGGTTATTGGGATAAAAGGGAGGAAGAAGATAATTATTGAAAACAAAGGATACAGGGAGTCAAATTGGAAATAGAAGTGCACTTGGTCCACTGTTGAAAGTGCCAGTATCTCACTATTTTAATATGCCCAAGTTCAAAACAGGACTGGGGTAATGCAGATATGGCAGAAAATAAAAATATCCAGGTCTCTCTTTTTATGTAACCATATTTGAATAGATATGAGGGGAAAGAATATCCTAACTTCCCCTAGGCTCTGAAATTTGGGCTTCAGTTGTACTCCCTGCATCCTAAAAAATAATAAAAATAAAAAACATGAATGACTGGCTAAACCACCAAGAGATATGCTCCCCACATGAGTAAGCATAAATATTCAAAGTTTCTTCTTAGAACTCTTCAAAGCTATATCAATTCTTACATGAATCTGTTTTCTCCAAGGTAAATAGGGTAGAAAATGATCCCAAATACAATGTATGAGAACAGTCTATAATCTGCATCCAAGCAGATTTAAGAATCAAATTCTCTGTCCCTAGTCACGCCGTTGTGATCATATCTTTATATCCCAAATGTTGCATCTTAAAATCTCTTAACAGTGAGAAAACATTCAATTTTCATATCCTCTTTGGTTTGCCCAAATTAACAGAAGTTACTGTACTTAGAAAATATTTTGAATATTAAGCAAATATAGTGTATAAAATGATATCATAAAATTATAAGGAAAAAAAGAGTAAAAAGACTTTTGCAAAGGGGAAATTCTCAAACCCAGTATTTCCACCCACCTACCCTCAATCCAGCAAAATAATTAAATTCCACTCTGATAAATTGCATGTCAAATAAATTTTTGGAAAATGAAGTAATATGACAGGTTAAAAATATCCACATCTAGAAGAGTTAGAGGAATAGCTTAATGGCTGAGTGCATGCTTTACATGTTGGTTGCTGCGTCAATCACCTAGTACTTCCCAGTTTCTTGAGAACTGCAGGGAGAGAATCCCTGACCAGAGAGTTCATTACTAGCACCTGCCTCTACCACCACCTGGTGTGGCCCCAAAGCCAACTTATATGTACTTTAAAAAGAGAGTAAACATGGATTAAATTTTTCACTTTAATCACAATATGGGAAAGATAAAAGCTCCAGATTTTAATGGGTCAGAATAGCATTATGTGTGACAGATGGGGAAAAGATGATTGGTTTTCAGATTATTTCATGAAACTCAAAATATGGTTGAGAGAAAAGGTTTTATCTGGTATGGGCATATTCTTTCATAATCAGAACTAATGAGATTTCCATATGTAAGCCTATCTTCATTGACTAGGACAGAGAAAAATGATAACAATTACAAAAAGGATCTGTATCTCTTTTTGTACAACATCTCGAGAGCAAATTTGTGTGCAGAACATAGCAATCTTAAAAGGTGGTTTGAAAAAATTCATTTACCCTAAATCTAGTTGCTTAGATAATTATGTTGCAACTTTCCCTGTTTTGAAGACCTTACCACAGGCTCTGTATATATATTCCTCAGACACACTGCCTTTTGGTGATTCTTGTGCTAATTTGTAAAAAAACGGGATGGGATTTTCCCGTAGGCACTATGACACCAATCACATTTGTTCTTTAAATGTCAAATCACCCAAATTTTTAGGAAAGGCGCATTTCATTATTCACAAGTGTGAACACAAATAATTTTTTTAATTTCAAATGGTCTTTCATATAAAACTATTTGTAAATAACCCCTAGTAGAAAAGCCCAAACCATTAGAAGTAAGCACATGGTCTATTCAATCTTTGCAACTGACTTTTTGAAGAATTGACTATTAAAACCAGTGACCATATGGTAAAACTGAGGCTCATAAAAAGTGATGCATCTAAAATCTTAAAGCTATTAGTGGATAAGTGTTTGTTACCTGCCTTCTTTCACCTTCACTGATTCGTAAGACATTTATTAAACACGAAGTATGTCAGAGAACTTGAATGAGGCTCAAGAATGCAAAGATAAATTAGACACTTGCTATATACATGTAAACCTCTAGAGAGTAGTAAGGCAGAAATTAGATCACTATAACCGAGTGAGATGAGTATGTTCAGAGGAGGAGTGGGGACTATTCTTGAACAGGAATTACCTATTACCAGCAGTATCAAAAATCTCTCTCTCTCTCACTCTCTCTCTCTCTATATATATACATATATATATATATATATATATATAATGGAGTTGGTCACATAGATTGGGTGAGGGTTCATCCTGGGTTTGGACTACATGGGTATGAATGAAAATGTACAAACTCAATTGTAAAGAATCTACTTATATACTTGATTTTTAATTGATTTTTTAAATTGAATCACAATGAGATACGTAGTAAAAAAAGTTGTCCATGACTGGGTTTTAGTCATATGTTCCAATACTGTCCCTTTATTAGTGCATATTTCCCATCACCAATGCCCCCAG